GATCGAACCTTCAACCCTTCGTTATTTACCATATACTTTCCCTATCGAAACATTGATAAGCTCCACCCCCTACAGTTCAAGGCAGGGCTGACACCAACATCAGGGATCTTGTAAAAATAACGACGCAATTATATTTATTACGAAATTCAATGTAAAAGTGAAGTGAGGAATATAAACTTGGAAATTCTGTTGATGGAAGTGTTGGATGAAGTTTAATCTTCGATCTTTGAATATTTTCACTAGACTGCAGTAATAGACTATATTTTTAGAATTCTATGAGAGTAAAATAATGAACTCATACATTGATATTATTTTATACGTTTATAAAAATTGCGGCAATTTTTGTTATGTGTATTTGCAGGGTGTTGTTCTAAAAGTTTCTTTGCAACTTGCATTTACTTGTATTGTATGCCAATGTTAATATAAATAGGCAACCTCACCCCTTAGAATTTAATGTTACAACAGTAATAGGGAAAAATGTACCACAATTCAGTAATGTAACATGAAACACAAAATATTGTGTACGTTTTACTTACTAATAAAACGAACGAAACTTTTGAGACAACCCAACGTTTAAAACAATCGCCACCTTAATATCGCATTAAATCGATCTTCATTCCTCCTCCAATTTAATTGCTCTCGAGTAATAATACTCCACTGACAGATAATTTCTATTAAAATCCACTGGCATCGAATGTCAGTACACGAGCACACTCCTTTCGGTGGATTTGCGCTCAGAACGTCGGGGCGAAGGCATATCGCACCTGTTGCGTTTGATCGCCCATCGTTTGCCCTGCAAAATCCTCCCTCCTTCTCTCACCCTCACCATCTAGGATGCGCGCGCGTTTTTGTGGCACAGTTATCATGGCGAAGCCAGAAAGATTCGGGCTGCCATCCAAAGAGGTGACCCATTCCTCGTGCAATATTACTCAAGGGTGCCCTCCCCACAATAATTCACAAATAAACTCGCAATATTTACTTCTACGATCTTATTTCTCAAAAAGAAGGCAACGTGGGGTAGAAAAATTTGTTAGTGGGGCATTCCAGCATCTTTGAGGGTGGTAAAAAAAAATTGGTGTTGCATATTTGTGGCAAATTCTATTTGTACAATTTTATTTCCCAAAAAGGAGGCAACGTGGGGTGATAAAATTTGTTTGGGGGGGGGGGGGCCATTTAGGCATCGTTCGGGGTGGTAACAAAAATTGGTGTTGCACATTTGGCAGTTCAGGATATCTCAAGGTATAGATTGTAAGACTCGAGGAAGCGTTCATCCGCTAAGTAACGAATTGACGACGCTATGTCTAACACGTTGGCTGTTAGATTAAAATTTCTGAAAATTTCTTAAAAGCTAAAGTTTGGTCTTGAGACTATTAATAATTAGACAATTTAACACTTATCATAGTATTTAATTTTTTAGCCTCGTTACATTCACGAACCATATTCAGATTTATTTTCATTGTCGTCTCACCTTCAAAATTAATTATTTTAGATACTTAATCAAAAGTTCTGTCGCTTATTTCTGAATCACGCGGGCGACCAACGTGTTAAAAATCGTCATTGCACGAAATATACAAGACAAATTTTATAGAATGGCAACTCTCGATCATTCCAAGCAGTAATGTACTATAATTGCAATGTCTAAAACTGCAGCCTCTCCGATTGTAAATTGTCAATATTGCGCATCTCAAAATTACAATTCCGGAGAATTTCAAGCTTTAAGCCTAAGAACTCTAGTTACAGGGTATTGGACGACTCGAGGAAACTATTGTTCATCCACTAATAAGTAACATACTGACGAAGAATTAACAAAAATATGAAAATTGTACGATCAGGAAACTGTTGCATGCGAAACGCCCAACAAGTGACCCTTGGAAGAATCATTTCGTCGAATTAAACTCTCCGTGGGGCCAGGTATTAGCAACAGGAACTTTCAGACGAAGACGAAGGAATCGTGATTGACGTCACGCTTTTCTCGTGTCGAATGGACGGAAAAATACGCTTCCTTTTAGCACAGACAATGTAGCTTTGATACGACCTTTGACATTTCACGGCTATAGTATCGATCTTTTATTTATTAAGGAAAACGGTTTATCGAATTTCAAACGGAGAAAATATGCTGGCCTGAGAACAGCGTTAACTTTAATCGTGATTAAGGATTGGACACTTGGGAATATTAATTGAAATGTTAGAGAAGATAGTGAGGAAATTGACTTCGAATATGTGGCATATTCTATGGACGCAACTGTTGTTTAAAGGGGTTCCTCGTGTATCTGTGATAACCCAGTCAGAAGTAGGCAATATTTTTTTTAAGGGAAACATGCATATCAAACATTCAAATCAAGTTTGAATTTTTTGTGATGTTTAGTATACTTATGAAGATTCCATGTAATTTTTTTCATGCGATTTACTCTCGTGATAACCGAGTTATTAATAATACTGTGCAGCATTGAAAATGTCATCGTAATTGGTAAACACAAACTAATTGAATTGAAAAATACAAACAGATTATTGTGCGATTATACGAATGGAGTTTTTATCAGAACAAGAAGAAATTGAGACTAGCTAAAATTAACAAAACGATTGCACTTTGAAAGGATTAAAAGAGGGTTTGGTTCGAGTTTTTCACCTTCTTATTAATTCTGAAATAAAGTTTGTGATACATTTAAAACAGCTTAGGACTTAGCTTAATTAGGACAAAGATTACAATAAATTGTTTTTTCTAGAGGATGCAGTAGGTAAGATCCACCATTTTTTGGACGAATTATCTTTGCCAGAGGTTGAAAACAATGATTCCTTTGTCTATGTTACAAATAGGGGGTGTGAAATTGATATTATAGGTGCAGTTACTAAAACTGAATCATTTTGATCTATTAAGGAATATTTTGAACACACTTAATCTTTATTTATAAATTTAGAAAAGAGGGTTAATAAATAATTGATATTTCTATGTCATTGATATTGAAATCCAAAAAATAAATCAAAAGAAAGGGTCGTTTAAGAGTCGTGAAACGTGTATGGCTACAATAATAGAAAAATGCGTCTAGAATGTCTGGAGAATCCTCCAATGGACATTTTCTAAATGCTGCATAGCAGTTATAGGTCAATAGCTTGGCACTGGGGTTCAAGCCTATTCATAGGCTTCTCAATTCCAGCACTTCATCGAAGCTCACCATGCTTTTGATTGGTAACTTACAATACTCCAAAACTCAATTGCATTTTTCTCCTCTTTACAACAATTGCTTCTGACAAATTTACTTTAATTCAATCTTCAATCAAGGACACCTCTATTTTCTACACAAATCAACAAACTTTTATCAAAATTACCAACGATACTATTCAAAGTCCTCCCTTTCAACATACACTCCCCAAAACATTAACCCTCCATGGACCGAATTTGTTTTTTTCTTCAGACAACTTGCAAGACAACTTCGATACTTCATCGTACTTTACTTAACATTCTTACTGGTTATCAGAGACATTATATAATCAAGACATATACATCATCTTCTGAAGAAACTAAAATTATTTGTTAAAACGTCTATATATTGGCATGTGACCAGAAAGTTCCTCGAGAACTAACGTAAACTAACATCAATTCTTTGGAACCACCTTAAAAAAATTCGCAAAGTGTCAACGTTTCTCAATCGATTCAAGGATCACTGATCGATCTTCCCCTAAGAGTCTCTCATGATCCCTGTCTCAAGTTGTGTGCATACAGACTTTCACGCTTTTCCTCGTCGAAAGGAAAGTCCGTGGTGCACGAGTCGGTGATCGATACCATCGCACAACTCTCGAGCGGATCGTGCAAGTCGTATTGACCGGCAATTTTCGCGCGGAGGAAGGTCATCACGAGACACACAGAGGCTACGAGCTGGCATACAGAAGGCAACGCGATATAACCTACTGTCACGAGCGGCTGCGAAGCACGACCTTCGCCCAACCAACACAAACCAGCCCGAAACCTATTTCACGTGCGAGCAATCTCGAGAAGAGCGAAGAAGAAGAGCCGGGAGCGCTTATCGTCGTCGCGAATGAACCCCTGACTGATCCCTGACCGAGGCGGTATCGATCGATATATCGAGAATGGAACAGCAGTCGCGCGTCACGCTATAAGTAGATATATGTCACCTGTACGTGTGAGTGACTCTGCCAGTCTGCGTCTGCTGCGTGTGTGTCTGTGTGTCACCTTACAATTCGATTCGTGCTATCCTTCTGGCTAATCGAAACGGCGTACTGGCCACGGTAATTGATTAGCCAGGAGACGCTCCTACGTCATCGTCGACGTATCGGGGACGACGCTTCATTCTCGATACTGACAAACCGTTGGGAAACGGACACGAGCACCAGGAGCGCCATTGGGGGACACGCGGTCGAAATAATGAATTCTAGTCTGTTTATGAACAGTTCCAGTCGCGGGGGAATGGTAACCCTTTCATTGGCGTCGTCAGGTGCCCATCGACTAAGATTCTTGAGTATTCATTGCGTAGACTCGAATCAGATTCGAATTAGACTCTCGTGGACCTTCCTCGAAGATAACCCTTCGCCAGTGGGTACGTAGCGTCCTAACCGAACGTTCTATTGTGACCTCAAAGTATCCACTATCAGATTCTGAGACTTTCAAACACCAGTCGAAGGTCTAGACAATGCTAGAAGCAGACCAAGAGTGCTTGGGTCCCCAAGTACTCCCACGCATATGCGCCTCCTGGTCGAAGAACGCCTACACGTCGTGCAGTAGCCCTCAGACCAAGTCAGTCTTTCTCAGCTCAATGCTGTCTAAAATTTTGGAGTACTCGAGGACTCCCACTGAACAATCCAAGCTACTCCAAATCTTGAAGACTCCTGAGTTAAGAGATAATTTCTGACAAAGATCAATGGAAGAGCGAAGACCCAAGCCTGATGGCCCCAGTACACCTCGAAGGGCCCCAAGAGGGTTAATTACATCCCAGCTGATCCACGTCGAGTACAGGACGCGTATATACGTTATAAAGTTTGTCACTTACGGTCGAGGAGTTTCCCCAGTGGAGTGGAATAGTCGCTTGAACGAAAAGAAGTACGACGTAGCGATATGGAGAAGAGGCACTGCGATGTCGAGGAGGGGCGGGTTCTGAGATACCTCCGCGGGCCTTGCTTGTTCAGCTTCGGCAAGAATAGCACACTACCAAGCAACGACACTGTAAACTTAAACACCGTACCACGAATCAAACTCCCGTTTTCCCTCTGTCTCTGTCCCCCTTTTATCCCACTGTTTCGATCCTCTTCGTTTCGTGTCGCTCCTCGGGGTCTCGTCTTTCGGGCTTTTCCACCAAAGGGATTTTCCTGAACGATGACTCTTCCTTTCCCACCCTTCTTTCTTGTCCTTTGTTCTTTCACGCGCCTCTTTCGACCCTCTTGTCTCTCTTCCACTCTTCTTCCAAACTTTCCTCTGTTCTTCACCGCAGCGGCAAGGACCCGCCCCGTGTGTCGCGCTACACAAACGTGTAGTGGATAAAGAGAGCGTAAAACTTGCTCTGCGACAACATTATCTGGCCGGTTATCGGTATCTCGCCGCAGTCGTCATTTCTTCCTTTCCTCCAGTCTCACCGCCCGCGTCGCAACGAAAATTGATCGCGTTGCGCGCGACGGTCCCTTACTGGGGGACAGACCCGACGCGTTCCTGCCTCGCGTATCGCTGTCAACCCCGTTACCGCTGAAACTGTTCCACCAGGTCCCTGGTGGCGAATCCTGGCCGATCCTATCTCCTGCCTTCCTGCCCGTTCTTCTCGCCGTTGACTTTCCTCGCCGAACCGGGTCCTTTCCCACTTCCTTTATCCGTCGTTTCCACCTGGCAGATAGACGCGCGCGCGCGCGCGCGTATTTCTGTCGCGTTTCACCCCTCTGTCTTCGAGGCTGCCTCTCTTCCACCCTCTCGAAACACCGTTGTTCTCTGTGTTTCTCTCGCCAGCCTCTGGTCCCCCTCTAGCACTGTCTCACTCTTTTTTCAACCCCCCGTTCCGAACCCTCTCACTTGTTCGCCCACTAGCACTCTCTGGTCTAACGTTTTCCTCTCGTCCGCGAATAAATCCAACCCCCTTACCTCCTCGTGTCCTCCTGTAAAGCTCGTCGCTCGCGAAAACGGCTTTTCACTGTTCACCAGAGAACGAGATTTACTACTGTTCCCCCAAGACCAACGCGGCAGCCTCTGGCGACGCGTTTCCCCTTTTCCTCGTTTTCCCTATTTTTTTTTTTCAACGCTCGCCAGAAAAGGTTCTCTCGAGGACTGTCGCGATTAGACAAACCCGACGCGGACGTTATTGCACCGCCACGCGCCAATCTCGCGCAGCGGACTCTAAGGGAACTAGTTTCGAGGCGCCTCGACGCCCTCCCCCCCTGTTGCCCGCACCGTTCGCAACCCTCTACGAGAATCACCCCCTGTCTGACCACCCACAGGAGCCGACTACTGCGCGCGAGAGACTGTCGCAACTACAAATCCGTACTCGTCCAATCGCGAGGCGCCGAGTGAAGGTGGCTTCGAGGGGTTGTGCCACCTTTGCGGGGAAAATAATCGAAATTTCTCTCGTTCTTTTCCTTTTTTTTTTGTGGAAAGATAGGGTTCGAGTTCTTGGAGATAGCGTTAGGTAACGATTGGGAAAGATTCTTCTCGGAAAAGAGGGTGGTCACCTTTGTAGAGGGGGTGGCAATCGAAATTTTGTTTCATTTGATAGTTTCAACACTTGAAAGTAACGTATCAAGTGTAGAAATTAATTCTGTTCCTTTATATTTTATCATTTGTAACACTGGCTTGAGTAAAAGTATTTAATTGTCATTTTGTTATTATGTGTTTAATTAGTAACCTTCTAGGTTCTCGACCTGGTCTTCGTTATAATGAATCTATACATATCGCATAACCTGATGAGCGTTACAATATCAAATTTAATAGCCATAAATTGTTGCTTATTATTATTATTCTAACAGATTACAAGTATGCTCAATAATTACAGTAATTGCAGAAGGCTAACAATAAGCAAAATTTGATAGCTGCTAAAGTTCGTACAGATCCATTACAATGACCACCAGGTTGAGACTCATATCTACATAGATTCATTATAATGAAAATCAAATTGAGAACTAAGAAGATTGCTAATGTAATGTACCAAAATATATTTGTGTAAACTGGAATTATAAATTATTGAATATAGTAATTAATAGTAACTAGTAAATTGCTAAAAAAAAAAGAACGTGTACCTCATTTTTAGCAGTTCTACAAAGTTGCAAAGACTCGTTAAAATGAGGGAGGGGTAGATATTCCTTGTCAGGCGCACGAAGAGAGCACAATGAATGGGACACGACATCGTGAATGGGGGGGATAGAACATCAGCGAACGAAACTTCGAAGCTGTAACAAGTATGCGATCGAAACGTCCTTTTAATCAAATGTATAAGGAAATGTGTATGGAAAAACGTTATTTAATAATTGAACTTTTTTCTATTCTTTATTATGTTATCATAAAAATAATATTAATTTATATTTGTGATAATATTGTCTCCTTTGAATAAATACTTCTTTAATCAAACAATATTAAACTACATACAGTTGAAAATAATCGTGCTACTATATGATAGTCGTCATATTTGTGATGATACTCCCTCAACAATTGAATGAATAATCCAACAAATTTTAACCTCTGTAAGCCAGCCACGACGATACGCGAGCGGCAGTGCTTTGAAGTTCGGTCAGCGGACGTTCGATCCCCTAAGCTGCTCGAACTGGAGAAACGTAAACAGTGGTGGGGTTGATTAATTATATTTAGACTTGTGCTAAAAGTCTTCCTCCTAAAATTACCGTAGGGCCCTCTTAAGGTCCCACTCAAATTCATTCCTCCAATTTTCACTCGATTTTGATCGAGGATCGCGTTCGAGTACCGGTTTCGCGAACGAGTTGAATAAAACGTGGTCTGCTTCGTCATTCGGTTTAATCATAAATGGTACGAGGTCGATATCGCGGTTAGGATTCGTAAATTCGCACGCCCCGGACTTCCGTACCACGAACGGATCAATGAAAATGTACTCCTCCACTGACATCACCCCGCCCGCCACCCCCGTGATAGCGAGAAACACGGTACCACACCGCGCCACCCTTACTATCAGTACCTGAAAACATTCGCCTATCGTTTCAGAATGACCCAACACCTCTGCAAGCTCGCGCGGAGCTTTCTTTCAGAGGAACTATCAGAGTACGATTGTGCTGCGATCTTACCGTCACTCCGTTATCATCGCCGTTGTATTGTAGCACGATTTGCAACCGCTTCGGTGAGACCAAGTTCGAAATAGTTTCATTTATCTTCTTCCATTTCGGTTCGAATTCTTTTTTATTATTTTATTTTTATTTTACCATCATTTAACATTCGACATGAAAAAATCATCCCTTAACCTCTTATTGCAGTACCAGGTCTCACAGGATGAAATGTTTCAAAGAAATGATGACTCCCTGCTGTCCGCTCTTTTTTTATTTATTAATGAACCGTGTATAAATTTGTACAGAATAGTCTTTATGCATTGCATTAATATATACTCCAAGTCGATCCGCGAGCCAACTTGAAAATTTGTGTAAAAAATATAGTGCTATATATAAATATAGGAAAATCTCTGTATAGTTCAACAGTGGAAATGCAACTAAATGTGCTCGGACTCCTAGCGAACACCTGATAGCCAGAATTTTGTAATATAATTGACAAGTGCTTTCAGTGACTTAAATAAGTAGTGTTACTCCGATTGGGCGACTTTCGAATACACATGTATATGCCAGTTGCAAATAAAATAATCAGTGGAATTCCAAGGCCTATTGAAACAATCATGATCACCAGGTACGAGAATTTTTCGTTAGGTGGCGTACCGTAGCCAATTAAAAATGTCCTGCAAGATATATTAATATTACTTCAGTTGTTTTACAGTACAATAATATTAAACATGAAATTACCATGTTGAGTAGTGCGTTTGCTTATAAAAGCCATCTCCCTTCATTCCTAACGATACGATAATTCTTTGCGTGAGCAAATCGTTAACCTTGTCTCCATAGTAACAGTACAACATTGAGTTTTGAATAGCGATTGTATGGTTATCTACTTTCACTGGTGGGTATTGTATTGTTTCCGTAGAACTTGAAACGCTGCGCGACTCAGTCGTATAAGATACAGGTCTCCACTGTAGATAAGCTCCTTCGGTCCGGAAATCATCCATACTCTTATATGGCGGCGTTCTAACTTCGACAACCTAATTAAATATAATTTTAAAACGTTACAAATTTTCAATTAATTTTTTCATATCGCTAACAGTGATTAGGATTAGGAACAGGGATTAGAAATAAGAAAACAATATAATAAACATTTGTATGTAATTACCTCAAATATACCGGGAGTATGTTCGTCATCTAAACTCTTTTTAGGATCAACAAACATTGGTATATCAGGATTTCCTTCGCCTACTACTAGTAGTTCAATCGCGAATCTACTGTTGGAAAAGTTTTTATTGGTTTGTACGTTATCAAGAATAATGTCAACTTGAGTGGAGTTCTCAGTGTGCAACATGTGAGGCAGCACTTCTGAATGATCCAGGGAACAAAATCCTCTCAGCTGAAAAATAACTTTAAATTAAATTACAATTTATTACATTATTATTAGCAAAAAAATAATAAATTTGTAAAGTGCTATACTTTACCGATAACTTCACAGTTCCATGTCTGCTGATGTTAAGAGCAGCATCATTATAATATTTGCCTTCCATATCCAAGGTAACAAATTCGCTGCCATTTGATATTGCCTTACGCTCCCAATGATAAAACATAGGATGTAAAATGTCCGTGTTTAGAACATTAGCAATATTTATTAATGCTGTGTCATTTACATCATTAAATTCTATAATCTAAAAATAGATTCAATTCCGTTTGTTAATAAATGATAGCGTATCGAGACAAACAAGGATATTATATATCTATTCACCTTATTTATAACTATCCCAAAGGTATAAACAGGTTTCTCTGTAAACATTATAGAATTCTTTTTCCTTGCGATAAAATCTTCCCAGCTAATGTTGATGGAAGCAGAAGGCGATGTAAGTGCTAATAATATGGACGGATTACCACCAAAATCCCACAAATAATGTAGAGTGTCATTAGGACCGTCAGCTCTTAGATAAACTGTTGTTAAATTTTTGTCTTTACATAACGAGCCACAGTCTGGATTCAGCGATGATCGTAACTAGTGCCAGGCAAATTCTTTTATATAAAAAAATGTAAATAGAATGTTTACAACACAATATTTAAATTATACAGTATAATCTTAAAATAAACAATTTAAAATAATAAGTAACTTAAATTTTAATTGACTGACATATTAGTATAAATTACAATTATGAAAATTGTTGGATTTGTTTGAATTGTTGAATATTTAATTCAAATTAAATTTACTTTATGATTTATGGAAACATTTCAATGTGTCACCTAAAGAAAATGACATTTTTCGTTCTTGTTTAAGAAGGATATAGACAATTGACATTCCATGATTAACTTTGTTCCTAAACCTTCGTACATTGTATCACAACGAGAAGCTTGATTAGAGTTCTCACGTTAATTAATAAATGGGTTACGGGGTCCTTGTGTTCCTCATTAAGCAACTGCTCCCATTAATAATTAAACTACTATTCAACGAATAAATTCAAAACATGATAACACTAAGACTTTGAATGCAAGCTAGAATAATCAAACGATGAATCACAATACGAACGACCTTTATTTTTTCGTATGAAAGGACATTGTTCTAAATAACTGTGCTAACGAATTTGCATCGTCACAATTGTAGCTTTAATAGTAACGTATCAACACTTACAGTTCTATCCGTGCAGTATCCAAAATCTACTAGTGTGACAAACAATAACAATAATACAAATACATTATCCATTTTGTGTGACGCTCAACAGAGCTAAACATTCACTGACAACACCACAGCAAACTTGTGACACTACTGGACGCTACTGATCGCTTACCAGGGGCAGGGGGTCCAAGCTCACGTACTAAAAGTTGGTACCAAGTTTTACAATGGAAACTCCGGAAACGCCTTATAATTTAATCAATACAAACAACGCCCATGCGATTAATTGAACAAGATATGGAGGAACGTTAATAATAACTAATTTTTATGCCAGAGAGTGCAATAAACGCGTAATTTATTTATAAAATTCAAATTAATTTCGCTCGAGTTGATAGCCATTTGGCGGTAAAGAAGCCGAACTAACTTCGGAATTTGGTCAGCGCCTCTCTCGGGAAAACGCTCAAGTTTGTCCTCAATAGTTTCTTTTTTTACCGTTAGATGGCGCCATTTATATGGTAATTACCGTCATGATGGTAATGTATCGACATGTCGATAAAAAAACAGCGTAAATGGCGGCATCTAGCAGTGAAAAAAGGAACTATCGAGGACAACAAACTTGAGCGTTTTTCCGATAGAGGCGC